TTGATTTTTATATCTCTATATTTAGTCTTTGATGCTTGCAAATTGCCTGTATACTATTTGATGCTTCTGCCTAATTTTTTTCATCATAGGTTGGTGCTGAGAGATTTGACAAGGAGTATACATATAGCATACGCCACAATTATGGACGGGAAGGGAAGAGAACAGTAAGCTATCAAACTTATCATTGTGCATAAAGAATGGAGGTGCTACATTCTATGCTAGTTTTCAGATGGAATGTTTAGAAGCTAGGGGAAGCTATTAGATGAAGTTACTATCTTATGTAATTAAATAGAAAAAAGCCTTCTAAGTTTCCTTACTTGTATTTTCTCAAGAGGTCCCACACTTTTTTTCCCCTTTTTCGTTCTTAGAATCTAGTTTGCTGCTTCCATCATGTGCGTTTTATTCTCAAAATATTCTTTTAACATGCTTATATATTCATTGCAGGATTACACACCTTATTCTTGTTCAAAGATCATTTCATTTACGCCTGGTGTCGGAGATCATCATGGCTGCCCTTATCGACATTTCAGGTTGATCATATAGTTCTATTTTCTTTGTGACAGCATATGACTATGCATGGAGGAAACTTGAAATGAGATTCCTTGGACTTTGTAAAATTTATATTGACTAAACTTATAAAAATCGATCAGATATGAATTTTATATATGTAACCTTGAGTTTTAGGCACATTATGGATGGCACATGAATTGCATCCCTCACATGCAATAACTGTTCCGGTTGGCTCATAAATGCTTTTGTACCAGTGAGGAAAATTTAAGGGCTGCCCTTGGTAGAATGGGAGTAGGTGGCCGTGCAGTGGAGGATGTAATGGACAAGGTTCGGAATAGACATTATCAGGTCAGAACTCTTTCTGGACCACTACTCTTACTTTATTTATTGGTCTAATGCTGGAAAGCTACATGCAGTTGGCGTGCACCTTGACATTTGAAGCTGTTTATGGCTCATCATGTGATGCTGGCATTAACCATCCAAACCAATACTTCCTTGAGAGTAGAAAGATCCTGGAACAGAAGGTTGGTGCCTTAAATGATATCTTTAAAGTTGGAATTCATATTTTATGAACTTTTTGCCTGAGAGCATATAAATATTTGGCATTTCTAAGTTGTAAATATTACTTGTTCTGTATATTGAGTTCTCCTAAGAAGTAACTCTGATTTAGGCATGTTGGAGGTTCTCTTTAATGAGCCTTAATATACGTTGTTAGAGCTGCAAGTCCAGCAGCAAGCGGCCAACGAGTCTAAATAAATAAACATACTCACAGACATGTATAGTTTAGGAAATAAAAATTAATCTAAATTTTTTATCTTTTCCTACCAAACAAAGGCATCAGTGAAGCAGACCAGGATTAGCAAGGGGAAAAAGAAAGACTTATGTTTTCTACTTATTTGAATGTCCTAAATTTTTGGGAGCCTCGGTTTCTGAACTTCCAAAGTAGCCCAAAGTAAATTGGAGCGTGTCCTAGTGCTTGCATGAGTTCTTTACGATGAATTTGTAAGGCAAGTTGCTTAGCCAAATGCCAGTTTTACTTCCATATGGTGGGCAATACTGTTCCCTCGTGCACTTAGCTAAATCATGATGGCCTAGTAAGTAGGACACAGTTAGCAGCCTATATAATTCCTGGCACAGACATCTTCAGGCCAATAAGGCCTGGTTGAGTTTGATTGATCAAGATGCTGCCTCGAAAATCCTCTTCTTTTACCATTTTTTTGGAGATCATCCTAATATATATTAATTTTACGTTATGCAAGAACTGAAATTTCTTTTGGCACTTTTTAATTACAAGATTTGTCCTAACTATATGCTTACTCCTTTCTGGTAGAATCATACTGCTGCATGAATTATGCAAGTTTTTTGATCGCTGGAGATGCTAATTCTGTACTTCTATTTTGTGGACCGAGCTTTCCAAGGCAGCTTTGCCCGCCAACAACTGTTTATATGTATATGATTTAACATCGTGTAGAAATTGAAGGGTGCTTTACTTTAAATAAGCTCAACTAGTTTAATTTTATTAGTTTATTACCAGTGTATTCTATTTAAGGAATTTGAGCGTTTTTTAGCCCACAGATGAGAGGAAAAAAGTAACATGTTCCACTTGTGGACTCTTTGCGTCGGTCTATCTATCAAATCAGTGCTCTGATACTCCCTTCTTCTTTTCTTTTATCTGGGTATTAAATTCCATTTTACCTGTGGCAAAACGAAAAAAAAAAAGATTATACACCTGAAGTAATATAACAGTAGAAGTGATGAGAATAATTGAAAGATTCATTGCATGAGGAACGTAAAATTTCGACTGAGACAATTGGGAGAGTACGTGTAATGTATATATTTTACTACTACTCAAAATGAAAGTGTATAATGAGAAGATAAAATTACTTGTTATAGATTAATCTCTCTTTTTAGTTTTTGGCTTCGAGCGACAACATTGGCTGGAAGTTTCATTGTTAGACTGGTATTATTTGAAATGTGGTAGTAAAGTGAAAATACTACAGATGGTCCAACAGTATCCTTGCACATCGACTTTTGAAAGGCATGTGTGTAGATTGGCGTGTGTAATACGATCATATATTAATAAATATAAATTCAAAATATACATTCTTTCATATAATTAAATAAAAATATCAAATTAATAAAAATATACTTTCACACGGGACTTAATGAAAATATATAAAAGATGTTATAACATACATGGTCTAATTTTTTTCAAATGGAGAAATTCGTTGTCATTTGGCACTGAGGTGAGGGATTACGCAGTAGGCATTTCCGTTTTCTAGTTTTGCTTTTTAATTTTCATGTCCAATATACAGGTATAGGGCAATATGTAATTTTATGCATATAAACTAAGAAAATTTTAAACAATTATAAGAAAAAAAGCCTTTGTTTTTCAAATTAAAAAAAAAAATTAGAGTCGTTAAAATAATTATCAAAGTGTATTCCGCATTACAAAGATCCAATCACGCATTTTCTTTAAAATTTTGGACAAAAGAGAAACGAATAAAGTTCCATAAAACCGAATACTAATCAGTAGAAAAGGCGAATAGTTTGTTAATGAACATAGTATAAAAATTTGAACTTTAGTCTTACATGTCAAATAATTAATGCCAACAAATAAATGCAAATTAGGATTTTCTGCTAATACCTAGTTTCCTCAACAAGCCCTGAACAACAGAAAAAGAAGATTAAATAAAAATACTTACCGGATCAGCCTAGACAGTGTTAAACAAAAGCTGTTATTCATACGAAATAATAATCCCATCAAACTTTGAAGTAATAACGTGAAACAAGTCTCTTTTGCCGTCCAAAACCAGAAATTGATACATGTAAGTAGAACTCTACCTTGGATTGTTTACTTTTCTTATTGTCCCCATCCCAGCATGATACAAAAAGGATTCTGGAGGAGTTGAACAATATGAATAATCATGTAAAACTAACTCATTACAATATATGCAGCATTCTACAAAATTCAGTACCTACCCTGTACTCCACTGGTTTAGCTCGGGCACTACCCATATATTCGAGAGAAAAAATCTCAGGCAGCAGCAATAACCCATAAGGCCTGTTTCCAGAGCAAATTAAAACTATAAAATAGACAATCTGAATGTCTTTGATGCCCATGAAATCCTACTGCTCTCTACTAGAAACAGATTGTTGTGGCGAGGCATTTATTGCACTACGTGTTCTCATTATACGTAGAGCATTGAGACCAGAAAATTTCAGCCCAAACAGACCAGAACTTGAGAACCCAATTCCTGTCCCTTCCCGGGAATGGTTCCCATTGAAAACCTCACAACTGCCAGACGATTCACCCACTTCCTGAAATCACACAACTTGGCCATTGAGATTCAATGGATGCACATGCACAATCAAATTGGAAAATACATATATGTATTAATAACACCTTTAGTCCTGAGGATGACAGAATATTTTGTAGGGGTCCCTGATCCTGCACAAACAACTCATCAATAAAAACAGTCATAAAAGATTTAAAACTTCTTTAGCATAATATGATAGGGAAGCATTTGTTGCAAATGTACACAAGACTGTGAAATGAAAACTCAGTAGAAGCTTCTTATTTTTCAATTTATAAAAAATTATCAGATATCAAAGACCAAGCACACTTCTAATGAAATTCTCCAAATGTGATCAAACAATAAAGGGGATCAACAATCTTTTTCACCCGTCTATTGATTTTATTTATTTTTTCTTTGAAACAAAGAAAAGCATATAAAACCAGACAAAACAAGAGCCCTTTTTTCCATCATTTAGAAATTGCCCAATTGATGTGAGTAGCAAGTCAACAACAAACCTTGTGAGATCCATTTGGAGCAGAGGGAGATTGTGGTCCTCGCGGCGATATAGGAGGCAAAGACGCAGTCTGTTAAGTCACAAAAATGATAAGGACAGAACAACTACCATATCAAACCACATAAAGAATATAGAAAAAGCAGTTTTATCTGCAAAATCTAGTTACTCTAGCAAAGAATATGGTTAAGCAAAGTGCAAACACAAGGTCTAGGACAAGAGAATGCTGCATTAATCAAGGTCAGATAGATTCTTTTGACTTCCAATTTTAAATTTCAGAAAACAACAGTTTGGATTAATTTGCAATCATTTTGAATCCATTCTAATAAACTTGAGCTCAAAACAAATAAACAATGCTCAATCAGAATCTTAATCATTTACCCTTGATGATGGTGTAATTGGTGCTGCATCAAGAGCTGGCCTAGATGAACTTGATGGAGAAGCCTACAAGTTCCAACCAAATTAAAAAAGTATGAAACATAAGTTTATTAAATAATCCAAAGGGCAAATCTGAAAATATAAAGCTCTAAAACCAAGCTAACCATAGAGAACTGCTGGCAATAGTTGGGAAAATGTAACAAAACATTCTCTAAACTAGAAACTAAAAGAAATTCAGTTTACATTTTGTCAAATAAAATCACCAACAGTGCAGTCACCATTATCTGATCCTCCTTAAAATCCAGCAAGTTCCCAGTTATGATTCTCCAATGCCATAAATCCAAGATTTCTTTTACAAGTAGAAAAGTTCCAGCTAAGTAAAATACAGATTGTCTTGCACATTTTTTAAGCTTCTTATTCTTACAGTTCTTCAATCACCAAAGAACACTTCAAATTTCTGTGTTCACAATAATTTCAGTAGTTGGTGATGGTAATTACTACAAGGGTCAGAACTGATGATTAGCTACATATGAGAAAAAGAATAAAAAGAGAAGCTAGGAGAGATCCTCCCACCATTGTTCACACCAAAATATTGGGCCTACAACTATCAGTCACCTCCTCTGCAACAGAAGTGAAAGTAGATGGCTCTGTTGGTTGCTGCTGAGGTTCTCCTTATTTAATCGTCATTGTTCTTCCGCCGAGGCATTCCTCGGAGATTAGAGACAAAAGCTGAAGGCAATATGTTTTTCTTCACAGAAATTTTGTCATTAGAGAGAGAGATAGAGAGAGAGGGAGAGAGTAGGCAGATAAGAGATGATACTCTGACAATGGAGATATAGGTGATCTGTGAAGAGTGAATATGGCCCCTGAAGTTTGCAATAAGAGGAAGCTAAAAAGAAATCAGACTATAGTCTTTTTTTTAAGAGAAATAAGGATAATGAGTTATGGGGGCATTAGAGAAAATGAATTCTTTAATAGTAATTTATTGATATGTTAATAAAATTTTAATTGGTAAAGGTATAGTGATTTATGGTTAGGATTAGATAAAATGAATTCTTCAATAATATTTTTTTAATACGTTACTAAAATTTTAACTAATATTAAATCTAAAATTTACTTGTTTATATGTACTAATTAGACTTTTTCTGAAATATGTATTAATTAGACTTAAATTAGTTTAACAATATAATAACTAAATATCCAAAATTTTCTAATGATAAAGATAATTTTTCTTTTTTTTTTACAGAAAAACACCAAATGAACTATCCATTCATAATTTAAAGAATGTTTTGTAAGTGCCCCAGAATAATAGTAAAAGAAAAACAAAATATTCACGGGCATTATACTCTTTTTCTTTGTCAAATAATATATTATCTATCTAATAGATAGACTAGAAACATACCGGACAATGAGAACTCAATCAAGAATATTATTATATAAATTATAAACATAAACATGATAAAGATTTTTGTCATACAAGCCTAAAAGTTGGTTCATGCCTGAATTTGCTCTGCAGTCCTACTCTGTTCCAGGTTCTGGGCAAAATCACACAATCTCTTTACTCCCTGTGTTGTGATATCCTAGACACAGTCACAAGCCAAATAATTAGATGTTGAACAGACAGATCATTTTTCAACGAAATTTGAGTTATGTTTCAAAATGAGTAACCTGTTTCCCTTCGATTCGACTAATTTTACTTTCCTGCAAACATTAAAATAAAGGAGAGTTAATCTTCAGTGAGCTAGACGAGAACATGATAGCATGAAGAAGGAGTTCTAATCAATGTTCAGAAAGAGGCTCGGAAGAAGAGAACTTTACCCTCTGGGAGTACGAAAATCAGGATCGGGATTGTGGACTCAACTCTATGGTATTCGGCGGGTGAGCCTTTTATCAAAATAAAATGACCTTATTTTTTATATGTTTTATTTTATTTAGATTTATTATTTATCAACAATGGTTTTACTGTACAGTAATAGTATTCCCAGCCCAAATCAGTAAATCTTTCTTTTTGATGGCCCATAACTCTCCCTTGGCCAAGCTTGAGCAGAATACTAGAGAATAATTACTAGTAGCATAGCAGAAATGAGTTCCTCAAATTAATATGTTTGCTAATAGACAAGGTGAATTATAATAGAATTCTATATGAAATTTTTTTGTCATTTTAGAGAGCATTCCACATATCTTCTAGTTGAACTAAAAGTGGATTTACAAATGAATTCACAATATCAGATTCTTCCTGAACATTGACATAATCTTCAAGATTGCTTACCAGAGTTTCAACCACATGACGAACAGACCTAACATCCTCCCCAATCCTTGCTGCACCTTCTCGTAGTTCAGAAACCTGAATGGCTTGACAATTTTTCAGTGAATCAACTTGAAAAGAATAACTAACTAATTTTACAAACTAATATATCTATACTAGACCTACCTCCCTTCCTGTCTCTGTAGTGATACCCTCAATTTCATCCAAACCAGCATCTACTCTGTCAATTCTTGACGACAAATGGCGCCTTGCAGCCTGGAAATAAGTATTGGCAGGGAGGAAGAGTGAAAAGTGAAGAATGTTACTGAGACGAAAAACTACTCTGGTTTAGTTTACAAAACAAGACTCCAATAATATGATATAAATGGCACAGGTGGAGCACAGAAAATATCGAGTAAAACAACATTGGTAATGTTATCTTTTCATTATCATCAGAACATACTGACATGGAAGACAATTCCCAAGAGTAAAATTTCTGGCAAACTACAGTTTACCCGAACTGCATTCCATAAAGGTCACACGAAGCAGAACAAAGAACTCAAATTCTTGTTGATATGTAAGTACTGATCCTTTCTACTTTAGTATCTAAATACGTGTGCATATGTGCAGAATAAAACATATTTTCTGCTTAAAAAGATACATTCTAATATAATTTACCATGTTAAAGACATTACTCAATTCGTTTTCGTTCTTATTATTCTAAAAGTATATATTCCAGAAAAGAAAAATGCCATTGCTACATTCATAACCATAAAATTAATTATAGAACAAAAGTTTATTATTATATGGTCTCCATAAAGATTGTATATGATATGGCAGGAATTCACATTTTATGATACCTAACCAACACATCTGAATTTCTGGAAGAGAAGTCGAAAGAAATACTATTCACTGTGAAAATTCCAAGCTCAAAGAAGCAAAAGACTTTTTGGGCAGAATAATATAGATCACAATAGCGTTGCATTGCTTATAACCTGCTTGTCAATACTCCAATACTTTCTATGTAAATACTTATCAGCACCAGAGAAAAATAATACTAATGAGTTCCGATAAAGTACCTCCACCTTCACTTTTTTAAATAATTGACCTTCTCTTTTTTAAAGACATTTATTTACTTAGTTGTCCCCATAAATTGGTTTTCTCTTTTAAATAGAATATAGCAAGTGCTTCTCTTTTTATGATAAACACTTTTGATCCAAACACATAATGTTCTTGTTTCTGGAATCAACGCATAATGCCTTAAATTAGTTATAACCACCAATTCTTTAAGCAACATCGTACACAACTCCAAATGCCCTCAATAAGACATGGACTATAAAGAACCTTAGACATGGCAAAAGACAAATTTGGCTCATTACAATAAGGTAAATGATGTATGACAGATCAAGAATTTGCCTACTTAATGACAAGGGGCTAAGCTTTTAAAGCTTGACCTTTGCGATCTAAGTGCAATCAGAATGACATAGTCCTTCCTATTCATTTTGTACTTGCAGTTGGTATGATTCTAGTAGTAATATTTCCATAAAAAAATGGTATGATTCTAGTAGTAACCTATCAACAATCAATGGTATCTCTAATTTCTTCCTTGAGTTTTGTGGCTGATAGTAAGCAAATGGTAACTGCATTACTGGGAATAATAAAATCAAATCCACCATATAAGGTCAAACCTTCAACTTTGAGGACTTTAATTGTGTTTATATCTTCTCGTCAATCAAAAACATAAGCATTTTGTAGTTAATTTTCTTGAGGACCTAATAACGACCAATCCACCAGAAGGAACCTCTGCAAGTAAGAAATCTTCATTGCCACTTGGCCAATAAAATTTTGTTAAAACAAACAACTGATCTAATCCCCAATCCACTTTACAAAAAGGTTCTCTAATAATGCCTGGGCTATGAAATGATATTCTCTACTCCGTGAAGTAGCCCCAAAAAATGTGATGTTGAATAGATTACAATCCCTTACCCACTCTGACTAATATAGGAAGGAGGGGCAAAAGTAAATAGCGAGACCGGGGAGGGCAAGCCTGCACCCTTAAAAAGATAACACAACTTCCAACTAGCAAACCTCCCTCCATCTCACATGAGATAAGATCCACAGTTGCTATCCTTTTTACCATGAAGGGCCAATTTATCACCATGATCCCATGTCCAACCAAAACAGTCATAGATTTACCCAAGTATCCTTAAAGATATGATATTGGCTGAAAGTGAAAAACACATTTTCTATTAGAAGCCCTCATTATCAACTTCGTAAATAAAAAAATATCATCGAAGAAACACTGAATGGGGTATTCCATCTTGTTATCTGAAAACCCCCCACACTTAACTCCTTAAAGAGATTCACCTCCCTAGTTCTTAACAAGCAGTTGAATGCTTCAAAAATGACCCATTACCTATGTTGCTCAAACTCGAGGCCAAGTGTCCAATATGAGTATAGATCTAAGTGTCTGGCTCGATAATTTTCATAAGTAGTATGGAGAACTCAGTCAATAAGAATCCTTAAACTGTATAGAGCTTGGGTTCATTCGATATAAAAATAATAAAATTAATATAAGCTTTTTAGAAACCAAAGAGAAATGCCATATACATGACAAGATATAGTCTCCCAGAAAAACTCATATTTGTAATGAACAAAAAATTAGTAACATAGAATCGATTATTTATTATACAAAAATCTCAAATTATATGCATAAGATAACAGGTGTTTCCATTTGTGTTATCTTTCAACATCTAATCTACGAATCTTTATCATCATCTCCGTAATATCATATAGCACAATCTCTAAGTGCCTAATGAAATCAAGTGTCACGAACAAATCTCATATGCACACCAAGTCATCAATTGGCTAACATGCACATCAACTATTGGGCAGATACCTCATACACACACTAAGTTGTGTTGACACAAGAATGCATTAAAACTATGGTTCGAGCAATATAGCCTGTTATACTTCCTTAATTCAATTCAAGAAAAAAAAAGAAAAAGAAAAAGAAAAAAGAAACAACCAATTGGGGTTGACGAAAACTAACTCTACTTTGGAAAATAATAAATATAGAAGGTTCAAGATCGAGAAAAGAAACAATTTAAGAAGTAGATAATAACAACAAAAACAAAGTGTTTGGATAATACCACAAGATTCCTTGTCATGCTTAGCTTCATATCATATCTCATAAAAGAAATTGAATGCTCTTCTGATTATATATACCATCAATGCCAACTTGAGATGCATCACAAACTATCTTAAACACCTTAAAGAAATCTAAAAGATGTCAATAGAGGCTTCCATGAATATCTTCTCAAAATCTTCAAAAGCTCTAGGTATGTGTTGTTTCCAACTAAATTGACTTCTCTTCGTGCATTAAATATTAAATGACATTACTGTATCATAAGTTTGGGTAAAACACCCCTAAAAACTATGCCGAGGCATGGAAGCTTTTGATGCATGCTAAGTTCTAGAAGTTGGCCATTCCCAAATAGTTCTGATTTTAATCATTATTAAATTAATACCCTTGAAAGAAACAAAAAAGAAATCTAGGAACAAGATAGTATATGTCATGAATGCACATTTCTTTAGGTTAATGTAGAGTTCTTCTAGCCAAAGCACTCTCATACTTCTTCCAAATAAGAGCTGTGCTCCCTTTTGGTCTTGTTGATACAAAAATGCCACCTAGACCACAAGAAAGCCTCCATTAAAGGATTGGAACACTTGGTCAATAAAACATATCAGATGCTTGCTATGTTGGAGAGTCTGAATGCCATGACTAGCCACTTGTAAAAATCATCTTTTATTGGTTGTGAATCACTTCCCACTTGATTTCAGCCCTCACACATGCCCTATTTGAGATGGTACTAAGCCAGCATCTTCCACCAGTTCATTTTCAACTCTAAGAATTTCTGCACATACTTAATTATACATATTATCATTTTTATCAAGGTACAAGCTTGATCACAAACTTTTTCAAAGTAATTAGGGGGCAAGTACTTCTCTGCAAGCATTACCTCCATGTCATCCCAAGTTTCAATAACTTTTCTCATTCCTGTTAAGTTCTTGCCAATGCCATACCAACAAAGCTTCGCAAAGCTGACCAGCTTTATTTTGGCAAAATGCAACTTTATGTCCTCTAAAATATTGTACCAGTTAAAAGTATTCTTCCGCGGAAGTAAGCCTGTTGACAAGGGAAATAGGGTCAACTCTTTCATTGAATTCTAGAGCACCTTCACTTTCTTGGTAATGTCGCCAGCATTGTCCCAAGGCTCCATGTGCCTCCTATTAGCTTAAGTTACAATTTTGCAACTTGTTGAATTAAAGAAACCTGACCAGCTTTTCCTCCAAGTTGGATGTTTTGAGCAATCTAACCCACTAGTGTTCATACTTGTAATGTATTCTCAATTCCTTTGCTTTACATTATAGTGGACTTTTTGATGGCCTATAATTTGGCAGTTAATGTAGACAACAATTCTTCGTCTCCTCATTGATCTCAATGAAGAGTGTCAAGTTTTACATTTATCTCAACATTAGTCACCATTGTTCAAAGGATGCACATAATTAGTTTAGCATTTTGGATATGAAAATTTGAGAATTGTTATCAAATCAAGAACTTTAGCTTTAAACCAAGTGACATACACATCACAAGAATTAATCTACCTAATTAGATATAAGAGGTTAAACAATATCACACCTAGGATTATCATATATCACATCTAAAAATAAGATTCTTATGCATTGGAATACAGGTAGATAGCATCATATAATCTAAAATTTAAAATACTAGAATCTGTTAAAATATCACAAAATATATTATGAAATATTCTTATATATTTATTAGTTGATTTCCTAGTATTAATAGGGTGATTTATGTTTTCATATATAAATCCTTCTTCTATGTATATATACCCCTAACTCTATGTAATGAAAGTATGTAAATATCTAAAATTTCTTTTCCTAAATTTTATATAATATCAGAGGTAGGGTTAAAGATAAATTATTAAGAGATTATATCATATTAAAAGAAAGGTTGAACAACCCATTATCGACGTCGGAAGAAGACAATTATTGATTTCCGGCCAGTTTAGAATGTGGCCAGCACGGTGGTGTACGCGAGAGAAGCCGTGGAAGCAGTTCCACAGCAGTTAGAGGCTGCACGCGGTGAGATTGCCGGAGAGCATCCCCGAGCGTCTTGGGTTCTCGTTCGAGGAAAGAAGGCACAGAGGCGCTCGGTCAACCGATTCTGTGCACGAAACTAGAAAGCCGAAGAAAGGAAAGCGACGGCGAAGGAGATCGGACAACAACAAGCGATTCTCCGCTTTCTGGAAAAATTGAGGGCGTTTCAGCGAGCGTCATTTTGGATCAGGGTGTGCATTAGGGTTCTATGGTGATTTCTGATCGAAAGGAGGAATTTTGGTGTTTCCCAGCGACGGTGTGTGCGGTGGCGCGTGAGCTCCAGTGGTGGCATTGTGGTTCTCTTGGGTTTCCGTGTGTGAAGAGATATTCTGTTTTCTCAAAATTTCTACGTTATTTGCAGTGTTTTCCGAATATCCCAAACTGTTGTGTTTTGGGTATTCTGAGTGGCATATTTCTTGTAATTTCTGAATTAAAATGGATATTGTCTGCTATTACTGCTGTGAATAAGAACATATAAAACAGTATTATCAGAAATTGCATAATCGCAGGATACAGACCGCTAGTATTGTTGCTGCTGCTGCTACTGCTACCTCATCTTCTAAAAGAACTGTTATGATTTCAATTGACGAGTATGCTAAATTCACTCCGTATCAAGAATTTTTGAATAAATTTCCTAATTTCACTAAATTAGAGAAAAAATATTTTATCTCTTCGAATAAATGGGTGATTGATTCTGGTGTTATAGATCACATGATAGATAATTCTAATATTTTTTCCAATTTCGACCACACAAATCACATTTTTCTGTAACTATTGCTAATGGGTCGTCTTATAACAATGTGGGGTCCGGAACTACAAAATCAACTTCATCTATTATCCTGTCCACTATATTAAGTCTACCTAAACTTACTTCAATCTAATTTTTGTGAGTAAGTTGACTAAAGATTTGAATTATTGTATTACATTCTTTTCTGATCACTGTGTCTTTAAAATCTTACAACGAAACAGATTATTAGTAAAGGAAATATATCATATGGTCTCTACATTCTTGATACCTAGGTCCCTCGGTCGGTTGCCTGTTTTAGTGTTACATCTCTATTTGAAGCATATTGTCAATTAGGACATCTCTCTCTACCTGTGTTGAAGAAATTATGTTCTCAGTTCCACGATATGCCTTAACTGGATTGCGAGTCATGTTGATTTGCAAAACATCGTCGTAGTCTGTCAGGTCCAATAGTCAATAGACGAGTTGAGTCTACTTTTGAGTTGGTACATTTTGATGTTTGGGGTCCCTGTCCTGTTACGTTTAAAACAGATTTTAAATATTTTGTTACCTTTGTGGATGATTTTTCTCAAATGACTTGGATATAATGAAAAATCATTATGAAGTATTCTCTCACTTTTGTGCTTTTTGTGCTGAAATCAAAACACAATTCAATATTTTTGTGCGTGTATTGAGAAGTGATAATACCAAAAAATATATGTCAAACTCATTTCAGAATTAGATGACTCAACACAGAATCTTTCACTAATTCTCGTGTATTGATACACCATCTCAAAATGGAATCACTAAAAAACATGCATTTACTTAAAACAGCTCAAGCATTCTTGTTCCAAAAGAAAGTCTCTAAGCAATTCTGGGCTGATACTGTTTCCACAATATGTTTTTTGATTAATAGTATGTCATCTACAGTACTATCG